TAAGTGTCGGTGAAATAAACATGTCGGTGAATTTTTGTCGGTGAAATGTTATGTCTACGAAACGAGCGTCGGTGAAGTAATACGTATCCACGAAATTATGTTGGTTAATTTAGGTATATCCCAATTTCGTCGACACCTATTTCGCAGACACCAATTTCGCCGACAGCCATTTCGCCGACAGCCCATTTCACTGACAGCCCACTTCTTCGATAACCCGTTTCCTCGACAGCTCACTTCTCCGAATCCATTTCTCCGACACCTCATTTTATTTTGTTGATAACTTTTTAATGGTATAAACCGATTTTGCCGACAGCTATTTCGTTGACAAATTTAGGGTTAGGGTTGGATTGCTTTATAGCTTGGTTAGCTAGAGGTAGTATGTTGGCGAAATTAATGTTTCGGACGAAACTCAAGTATTTCGCCAAATCAGAATTCGAAATTTGGGCGATACTAGTTTTGCCCAGCATACAAATTTCCGAAATGTCTGACAAAATCCGTAATTGCCCATATTTTAGATCAATTCGAAGAGTCCGAAGCTATGATTAGTCATGCTCAAAAACGTGTTCTAATCTTGTGAAATTTTTTGTTCTTAATTCTGTAATTGATATGTTAGACAATTGAGCAGCATCACTGCCAGTTTTAACTACTGTTAACCCGCCCAAAGCTGATATGCATGGTGGACAGATCTTGTATCAGTACTGAGAGGTTATCAAATTTGATAAATTGTAGCTATTAGATTCATACCTTTGAACCTTTCAAAGTCGATCCTGTCAAAATTGATACGTAGCCTGTCAAGTCTAAAAAAATTAATCCACCAAGTCTTTGCCGTTATATGAATCTAATAATTTACAATTGTTTAAATCTGATGACCTTTTAATACCGATACGAAATCTGTCCACCATACATACAGATTTTAGGAGGTTTAACAGTATTTAAATTCGCGAATATGCCACAGGTTGAATCAATGATATTGGGTCAGTGTATGAAATTCAATTTTTAAATTAGTTGTGGACTGCAACCAATTATAAAAAACGATTTGTGGATTATAAAAATTTCTAAAAATTTAGTTGCGCACATGAAATTTATAGGTAAAATTTGCAAATTTATATACGGAATCTGCATGTGCACTTCAGATTTTGGTTGCGGGAATTTAAAATTTTGTTGCGGCCCGCAGACTCCGCAACCCAATTTCAGACACTGTATCGGGTAAATACCGGAACTACCCCAGCATTGCCGTCAAAATTTTACTGTCACGTGATAATTATCCAATAGCAAGTCTCGTTTTAATGTAACGTAGCACAATCAGGAAGATCAAAGCAAACCGTTCGCTTTTTCAAAAATCACTTATATCTCTAAAATTTACATAAGAAACTACCTTTCGTGCTCTAACAAAAAAATTTCCTTGAACAATTTTACTATAAAACCTCATAAGTTGTAGGCCCTAACCCTAATTTATACGAGTTTAAAGATTTTTTAGTGCGCTGTAAACACTATCACGTGATAGTAAAATTTTGATGGCGATCCTGGGGAAGATCATACCAGGTAGTGCTTGGCAAAATCGGAGGTCGGCTAAAGCGGAGCGAGTTTTGATTGTCTACGTTTAAGGTAGTACAATGTCGATCACGTGTATGGGT